AACAGTAGTGAGAATTGTGTTACTCTATTAGTATTATTTATTTAATTTTTTTTTTGCAAATTAAAAACAAATTATTAATTTGATAGCATTTGATAAAATTAGCAAATAAATAAACATAAACGAAAATATGCAAAACAACAACGGTAGGAATGTATCATCACGAAGCTGATTATAATGGCATAAATATTCTGGTCTTTTTCAAACATAGTAGTAAAAATAAATACACTTTATCGTGTTAGACCGGTTATGACAGAAGTTTGATAAGAAGTATGAGCACAAGATTTAAAATGATTTTTAATTTTTAATTTTTTTAGTTAATTATTTGATTTGTTAGCAAATTAATTTAAAAGTATTTGAGTAATAAAGTACTGAATAAGTAAACTAAAATGTTAAAAATATTCATGCCTTGATTTAATTAGCACGAAACTGTTGCTTGTTCAATATATAAACTTTTTCTTCTTATATTTTCTCATTACAAATTTTCAGTTTTATATTTCAAATTCATTTAGTTTTTATAACTTTTATATATTACCATTTTGATTTGATTTAATTTTTAATTTAAGTAATTTATTTTTTTACAGAAAGTAAATAACTGAAGGAATTTGTCACTGTTTTTTGCTTTTTTTTAAATAAAAAATATTTTAATAACTTGAAATTACTATTTTTGGATAATATGTAGAGAAAAATAAAGAAACTTTTTAGTTATTATTTCAAAAAAAATTCATTTTTTGAAGTGAAATAATAATTTAAACGTTTAATTATAAAAAAATTCAACCACTTAAAAAATTATTAATAATAAGAAATTATAAATTTATTAATACATTAATTTTGAATTTAGCTATTGTACTCAGCAAGTTCAAATTGTACAGATTTTTTTTCTCTCAGCCATACAATAGTTGCATACTTTTCATTAATCAAAACAATTTTTGTAAAAAACAAAAATGCAAAAAAAGCAAAGTTGCGTAAGTGATTTAGATGTAAACGTTGGCAAAAAAATTTTGAACAATAAAGGAAACGAATTGATTAGAAATTTAAAAATTTAAAAAGGAACAATTTGTTATCCATTTTTTGGTCATTTTTCCTATTTTTTTTTTTGAAAATTACTTTGCCAACTGTAATTCTATCGTACCTTTTTCAAATAAATCTTACGGTAGGTTCAAAAAAATGACAAAATGGCCATCGGTCATAGGTTAAAGTTATTGTGATGTCTCCGAACTAGGCCAAATTTCACCAATATTATATCAAGTAAATAAATCTTTCATGTCGTTTTAAATTATTTATGCGCATATGAATTCGACATTTGCAAAAATGGGACAAAAAAGTAAAATGAAAGAAATTTAATACTGCTGTGAAAAATTTGCATAAAAGTTATTTGCATAAAATCAAAATTGCAAAAACAGTAATGTTTAATATATAAAAAAATGATAGTACTAATATTAATAACAATAATAATAGTAGGAATAAATAAATAATAACAACAGCATTAATGAATTTTAGTAAAAAAAGAAATTTTTAAAGATTTGCATAAAATACTTGGCTAAATATACTAGTAATGAAGTGATAATATTTGTTTGATATGTTTTAATGGCATTAATTTTATTAATTAATATTGATAATGTGAATTTTTTTAATGACATTACCAGTTATGTTCAATTACTATGAGCAGTTGACTGAAGAGGTTAAATGTCAAACTAATCGGTTCATATAAATGAAACGATATATTTTGATGAAAATCTCCAATTATAATTTGCGCAGATAAAGACAATAACAAACTTTCTCTTTTCTTATTAGTTTTCATTATCATTATTGTCACTGCTCTTCGTAATTATCAGTACATTGATAACTCTGTTGAATGCAAATCATTAATCGTATTATGATCACTCATTTGTAAGTAATAAATTGAAGAATTCACTTATAAAAAGGCTGAAAACAGTTGCCAAAGCTGACCTCTTCAATTTTTTACAGTATTATCTGCAAACCATCATCATTATCATCATTTTGAACGAAGGCAAGTTTAAAATGACGATCAAAATTGTAACTTGCAACACACTTTCTTTAGAACAGAGAAATTTTGTACTGCAAACCTGTATTTTCAGTAAATTTTATCTTCTCTTGGGATTCTCCATCAACAACATGAGCAAGTTGCTGATGATGATAATGATGATGGTGATGATAAAAATAACAATGAAGATAATATTTGAAGGATCAGATTAAGAATTTTCCCTCATTATTATTGTTACTGCCTGTTATTGTTGTTGTCATTGTTATATATCGATAAATGCGTCTTCCACTAATATATCGAAATACAGGAAGAAAGTGGATATTGCAGTGCAAGAGGGACCAACTGTCCACAAATTATTGCTTATATATGCGAATTACTTTTAAAAATTTTTCTCCATTCGAGTAAAGTAATTTATTTCTGCACTAATTACAAAAGTATTGCTATGAATGTTACCAAATTTAAGGCTATTTTTTCACTGCTAGCGAAGTTTTTCACTTTTCAAAATTTTCAAACGTAACGCTTTTCGCATATATATTTTTTATGATAAAGAATTTTATATAAAATCAATTCATTTCGTAAAATATTTTGTGTAATTTTATTGCATTTAAAAAGTCCCTTAATTGTTAGTTTATTAAGTCATTTGTAATTTGCATATTTTCAATTAAAATTTGATTAATTGTATTCTATGACTTTTAGTTCTATTACTTCGATTAAAAATTCTTTTACTTAGTTTGCATTATTAAGTCTAGATATTTTCATTTTATTTCTTAGCTCAGTAGCATAATTGTAATTATATACAGTATATTATTGCTGTGATGCGTATTTTTGTAATCAAATTGCAACTTTTAATACTAATATATTTGTGACTTTGATTTTTGATATTACAATGTCATCCAGTACTTTCAAACCATATCTCTAACTCTAATGATTGGGATTTTCATTGCTGAATTTAAATAGCACATTTAAGAAATAATATTTACTTTACTTTTTGAACAAATTTCAAGTTAGTAAGTTCTAAATCCTTATTATAATAAAATATAGTTAACTAGCTCTTGAAGATAATCACAATTTGGGTATTGACGTTGTCTTCATATCTTTCTTCCTTTCTTTTACTCATTTTAATTTGATGCATTTTGTGTTCTTAAGATGTATTTTGGGTTACCAGGTCATGTAATTTCTGTACCGATTTTACAGTGTGTGGTATTATCTGGAAATAAAAACTAGAAATGAGAAGAGAAATATTTGATAGAAAAAAATGATAATTATAATGATAATTAGATGCAGATGTTCTTTGAAATGTAGTAATTATGATGTATAATTTTGGTCTTATGATGTGAAAATTTAAAAGCAAGAAATTAAAATAAATCTTTTGCATTTTGATGATTATTTAATGATAATTGGTAAGTATAACTTTTTTGTTTCTGATAATAATTGTGACAAAAGTTTGTCAGAAAAAAAGTAGTAATTTGAAATAATCAAATGTCCAGATAAGAGTATTTAGAAATAGTATAAGCTAGCCTATCTCGTAAATATTATTAAATTAGAATAGCACGTTAATTATTATGATTTTCAGACTATTCATTCTATAAACTATGATAATTGATATGATATGAATGTTTGTTTTTTGGTGTAGATAAATAGTCTAATCCATTTTATCATAATTACTTTATTTGATATTATTTGATTTAAAAACTTAAAAAATTTGTTGAAATAATATAAAATAATCAGTGCAGTTAGGGTAATTTATACACAAATATGATTTATCAATTGAAAAATTATTCATATATTTGTTGAATATTTGAATACTTTTTATTTTAACGTTTATTACTTGATTCTTATTTACAGCTTTATTAATCTTTATTAATATTGAAAACTATACCTATCTATTTAGTGCGCAGAATTGTTCTCAAAAGTATAGAATTGCTATAATTTATTAAATATAAGAAACAAATGATGCTAAATTTTTTTAAATAATTTTATGAATACGTTTTTTAAATAGCATCAGATTATCACTACTGAATTTCTGAATTTGTAAAATTCCGTGAGTTAATATTTGTATTTACTTAGATTTAATATAATTATTACTTTATGAATTTATGTATTTATTCATTTATTAATTATTGCTGATTAAGATTTATATGAACTAATATGTACAGCATCTGCTCTCTTCTTTCCATAGCAACATATTTATACTTTTTTTAAGTTGAAAAATTGTTTGTGGCATTTAATCTTAAATCTCTGAAAAAAAAAACACACACACAGACACACGAACCAAAAAACAAATAAAACGAGAAGTAATAGAGCCAAAAGTATAAGTTAATTAATCATATCATTTTAAGTTTTATTAAGATTTCATTTTTGTGTATTGGTGTTAAAATTAATTAAAGAAATTAATTTTAATAACCAGTGGAGAAATTTGAAATTTGCTGTCATACGTTGTAATATAATATTATTTTAATGAATGGGAAACGGAAGAATTTTGTTTCAGAAATTTTTGTCTTTCATTTTAAAAATGAAAAATAAACACTGCTTGAAATGAAAATATAAATTTAAAACAAAACTTTGCTGAAAAGTAAGAAATTATTTAAAAGTATTTTCAGACATTTTTGTTCTATTAAAACTATAAAAATGGTTATTTTCTTGCTTTTTTCATTTTTTGCTATTATTTTGTTTGCAGAATTTATTCTTTAAAAAATTAATTATTTTTATAAATTATTCACAAATTAAATTAATATATATTTGTTTACATATGTGTGTGTTATTCTATGAAAGACAAATCTTCGATGTTTATAATCAAAGCTTCAATTTAAGATCGAAAATTTGCTTTAGTGTGTAGAATAATTATTTTAGTTTTATTTAGATTTAAAAATAATTTCGGATGTTTTCTTATAAAAATTACGTTTTCATAAATTTAATGATAATATAATAATAAGACTATAATTATTATTTTTAGGTAATTTAACAAAGCATATTTTGAAGCATCACAAACAAGAGCAAAATGCTTACATTGGTAAAGATGATATAATAATCAAAAAGGTTGGTTTATTTTTATTGTCTTTTGATGAATTATTAAAATTTAAACAATATGTGGACAAATTTAAAAATTTCAAAATAAATACTGAATTAGATTAGTATTTTTAATTTCTAGAACATTACTATCACTTTGCTGAGAAACTTTTTAAATGGATGTGACAATTTTAATGACCTTTATTAAATTTGATTTTAAATTAATTCTGATAATAGAAATTAAAAAACAGTAGTGAATAATTTGTAAGTAATTTGTATTGAGTAGTACAAATTAAGTGAATATTTCTATGAACATAAACGCAAATTTTTGTTAATTATTGGTCATTTTAACACAAAAGTTAATTTTAGGGCAAAAAGTCAGTGAAAGATCCAGCAGCTGTTGATTTCCTTGAAAAGTCAATGATCGTACTGACTTCAAGCACCTCAGAAAATCCGCTTAATTTACTTCCGCAGAAAGATGTAAATTACTCTTTTGTTTAAAACTATTATTGTAATTATTAATTTGTTAATAATTTGTAGTTTCATTTAAAAAAAGCGAAATTAAAATATTCACTTGTTAATTTGAAAAGAATAAATAAAAAAGCATATTGTAAATTCAATAAGATAATTAGTCATTTTTTATTTATATGTAATTTAATGTTATTTACATAAATAAGTAATATTAAAGGAAATATTATTATATAGAATAATCATAAAGTTTCTAGGAGCCAATGGATGATGAAAATGAAAAAAGTCGTTCAATATTTATGTCTCTTGGCCTCGATACGGGCAGTATGGATCTCAGATCCACTTCACCTGAAGATGATTCTATTTTCGCAATTCATGGTTAGTTAATGATTAATTATAATAGGTAATTATATTAAGTAATTATATTTTAAAGCAAGCTAGCAATTAATAATTTAAGTGCAATCACAATTTGAGTTTAATTAATGTTAGCTATGGGCATATAAAATGCATCATGTTTAGAAGAACTGTAAGTTTTCACTGTGGGCTATTTGATTAGCTGCTGCTATTTATGAATTAATTTCTACCTCCAATTTTAATTTCTTTTATTTATTTTGCTATTTGAAAGATTTACAAATGTTTATTTAATTTGTTAATCGGAGGAGATGTAAAAAATTTAAACTTTTATCGTTGAAATGATATTTGTTAAAATTTGTTGTAAAATTCTTTTCGCCCAATCTAATTTATTTTCATTTGTAATTCAGAATTAGCGCTTATAAATACTTGAAAAAATATACTATTTTGATTGAAAAAATGATATTGTTTTCAATGTATTTTATTATTATTGAACCAAAAATTTTTCCTATTTGAATTAAAGAAATTCTAATTAAAGAAATTCAAATAAGCACAAATAAATTAAAAAACGTGGTAAATTTTTTGAATTTTTTTAAAATTTGTACTAAACTAAAAAGAATTTTCGCAATTTACGAATTACAATATGAAAAGTATTTAAAAAATTTTGTGCTATCTATAATTAAACTACTTTTTTTATTTACAAAATAATACTGAAAATATATTGCGCTATAATGTCTAAGCATCCGCCGATAATTAACCAAACTGCTGAATTTTTGGTTAATTACTTAGCTGTGTTAAATTTGATTACTTTAAAATTGTTGTAAAAGTTTGCTTGAAATTGTAATTTAAATTACAAATATCACAAAAATATGATCAAAAGAAAGTAGCGAAAAAGAAATTTATTTTATAACAGAAAAAAAAGAAAATTTGTAAAAAGCAAAAAATAAATTACTCAAATTTTTTGATAATAATTTTAATTCTTAAATTCTTTTTAATTCTCACAAAGATAAACATTTAAAGCAGAGTAATTATTTTCTAATATAATAAGAAATTAAAAATTAAAAAAGTGAAAAAAAATTTGTAAAAAGCCAAAATAAGCTGAAAAATGACAATTATATGGCCTATATTTTGAATTATTTGGACATAAGTAAGAGCAGTTCAGAAAAAATAATAATAACAAATTGAATTTTGTGCTTATTTGTTTGTATACGTCTTTGAGTATAATAGGTGAGTAGCAGTAATATTCTGAACAGTAATAATGTCATTTATTAGAAAACGCTATTTTAGCTCTGGATAGTATAGTTTACAATTTGCGCACTTTTAAATTGCACTTTTAGGATTCACTTTTGTTGTTCACATCTGGAAAGTTCAATTATTAAAATGTAAAAGTCTTAATTTTTCAACGATAAACTAATTCTGATTGTTAAAAATGCGTAATATACACGGCTAACTTTCTATGTATTCGTAATGCAAAAAGTAATAACGGAGTAAATTATTTATTTCCATATTCTAAGTTTAAATTTGATAGATTAATTTTTCACATTTGTTTGCAAAATTTCATTGCAAATTTTAGGAGAAAAATCAACAACTGATTCAACGATGGATGGACAATTACAAATTGTTAGTGGTGGGGGTAGTGGTGACGTAGACTGTGAAGAGGGCACGTCATCGCCTTTGAATAACCTCAGTACCAACGAGCACTTGACCTCTCTGATTGCACATGTAGCACATAGTAATCCCCGGACTCAGTGTCCAGAATGCGGCAAGCATTTCCGCAAAGGTTTTTTCTTGCAACTTTTATGCACAAAAATAACTAATATTTACGAGTAGTTTAATTTAATTTTTATTTTTTTGAATAATCAAACAATTCAATGAAAATAAGAACTCTGGCAAATAAAAAATAAAAAAATTTGCTAAAAATAAGTGATAATCGAAAATATTGCTGAAAGTGACCAATATTACATTCACTATAAGTAAACAAAATTTGAAAATATCTTCAAAAGATTATCAAGTTTTGTGAAAGAACCATTTCTGTTGCGAATAATGTGCAAAAAGATATAAGTATTTGCAGTAAAATTGAACTTAAATTTAATTTCCATACAAGTTTTTTGAAAATTGTATGATTTGATTAGATATTATCATTTCAGGTTCATCCTTACAAGTACACATGACTTTAAATCATGGCTTTCCACCTCCAGGAAGTTCTATATCTTCTGATGACCAAGCAGAAAAGAGCTCTGATTGTGGTACATCAGCAGAACATCAAAATTCTCAAAGCGAAAATCTTTCATCAGGTCCTGTTCATCATGAGATCAGAGAGATCAAATCAATGATTAGTGAATTACGCTCTGCGCAAGGTACTGCACGAGTTGAACAGGTAGGTAAGATCAACAGAGATCATTTTGAAAAATTTGAATGAAACAGTTTGGTTGAGTTTTGTACGAAATTATTTTTAATTCACAAAATTATAGTTGTTAACCAGTTTGGATACACGCGTTGGACGGTTGGAAAAGCAGTTAGAAATGGCATTGAATAGCATTTATACATTGGTTCAACTTCAAACTGGAATCAATTCGTCTATCACAAGGTTCAGGGAGGAGGCTTGTGAGCAATTAAAAACCGTTAAAGCGATGCTCAGCGAGTCTTCTGTTTGAATTTACGGCAAAATTTATGTTTTTACGTACTTTGACACATTTTTGTAAATGCTGGAATCTGTAAACACAAATGGGATAGATATAAAAAAACTGAACAAATGTAAGATTTGAAAATAATAAAGCATAAAATATTTAAAAATGTTCGATATAATAAACTTATAATTTATTAAATATCGCAAAGCATTCAAAAATTTAAATGATATTAAATAAGTCTAGTAATTTTGTTGTGTCAAAGTATTTATATTCTTTTTTTTAAGAAAAAAAGCATTGTGCCGTTGATTTTCTCTTTTGCATATATTAATATTTAATGATATATTTATGTTTTTTCACTCTGTAAATCGTTTTATTTTCGTTTTTAACATTTCGCAGAAATATGATAGTGTTTTCATTTTATTTTCATCTATGTCTTTTCTCCAAATTATGTACTGAACTTTTAGTATATAACATAATGCCAAGTATTTAATTTCTCTCAAATATTTGATATTCTCAGGCGTTTTTTGTTTGAAGCAGTTTTATCCAAAAAAAAAAATTCTAAAATAAATTAGTAAGTTTTATAAAAAATGAAAATTTTAAAAAGAAGTCTTTACAATTTTTCAAAAAAATTCAAATTTGAAAAAGCTGAAAAAAGTATAAAAAAGTGATTTTATAATGCTTTTTAGCATTTAATCTTTTGCAAATAATGCATAGTTTATTATTATTTGCATCTTTGTCTACATAATTTTCAAACGTTCAAATACCAATTATTTAAATAATTAGTTGTAATTATTACAATTACTAGGATAATTTGCATACAACTGCTTCTCCATTACTACTAGCAAACCAGTGAGATTTATCATTTTTATTCATTTTTTTTCAATTTTTTTTTTTGCACAAAACTATTATTTGGTAAATTTTTATGAACATAATAATCTAGTCAGATAAAGTAATTTTGTAAATATCTATTATTTTGTTTCTAAAATAACAAAATGTAAAAATGAATTTGAGTACAATTTTGAATCAGTAGTTTTCTAACAAATAACTTGAATCGATCTTTTTGATAGATCAAATTTTGAAAATTGAATTTAATCTCAAATTTTTGTACGTTCACTAATAAATAATAATATTTAATTGCTATGTGAAAAAAAAATGAACGGTTGCATTTTTCTTTGCTTTTTGATAATTTAAAAAGACGGAAATTAATTTTTTTTCAATTTTTATCAAGCGCAGATAAGTGGTGATAACGCCGAGAGCAGTTATGATAGCATGAGATTATTGTTCTATCTTGTTTATTGCACAAGTCTACAAAATTCAGTTTTTTTAATTTTTTTATTTTGCTCTGACATTTATTCAAATATTTTATGATGTAAAAACAGTTTGATTGTATTTTTTATAAAATGTTTTGACTTTTTTTTAATAAAAAATTTTTTTTCTAAATTTATTTTCTGACATCCAAACTGATAAATGTTAAAGAAATTTTAATAATTAAAAAAGGCAATTTTATCAATATTAATTGTTTTTCATGCTTTCTATTTTGTTAAAATAATTATCACTTCTACTTCTACTATGATTATTACGACCAATATACTATCAGTACTCTATCGTTATCACTGTTATTACTATTATCATTATTTTTATAACCTTAATATTACTTGCTACCAGTTAAGTAATTCTTGCATGGCATACTTACAGATGCCTATAGTATTCTGATGTTTTCTTTCTTCCTCAATCTTTTTTACGTAAGTGCCATATAAAGATTTGGCTGAAATTTTTTGTATTTCCTTTTTGTCAATTTTAATATTACTTTAATTACTATTACTTCATCAGTATAGTAATCTTATTTATAAGTATGTTTTTTTCTGTCTTATTTCTACCAAAATTTCCATCTTTTTTCTTATCACATAATTTCAGATATATCCAAAGTAATAACTAAAATGCATAAGTATTCATTCATTAATGATCTTGCCATAACTTCTCTATGTTGTTTTATTTTATTCTCAATTTTTTGTGTCTACTTGAAAAATGCATTTTTTGTATTCTACTTTTTCTCTTTTTTTGATTAATTTTTCATTATTTTTGCGTATTGATCTCATTTCACGGAAATTATGGAAAAGCATCTGTTTATTATTATTATTTTTATTATGAATTGAGTAGCAAATAAGAGAAAGTGTTACTTTGTAGAAAGAATTCAAATAGATAGAATTAAAAGCACAATTCATGAATTTGTTTAAAAAGGCAACTGTTCAAAATGATAGATAATTGTTTATAATTCAAAATTTAAATTGTAAAAAAGCTTAGAAAGTATTTGCTGTTGTCGAGAATATACTCCAAAGAATGAAATAAAACTATTAATAGCAGAAATATTTTAAAACAGTTTAAGTAATACAACACGCAGTCCTACGTTGAAAATTAACAACTTGAACTAAAGTTTGGTACTATTTGCAAGGGATTAATTGGGATTTGTTTGCAGATCATGTAAAAACTGAGCTTATGATTGCTAATTTTAAGACTTAAGTTTGGTAAGTAATGCGTACAAAACTATACGATTTGTACTTATTCACAGACTTTTATATTACATTACACACACAAATTTTGTCATAAAGTATATATTCAGCAATTCAAATTATTAGCTGTTCACGCAGTCCTTGATTCCGGTCACGTTTTCTCTATGCTAAGTTTTTTTTACTCAGTTATTTTTCTAAAATTATGGGCTTTTTTGTCAAAATTCTGCAAATATTGCTGGGAACATCAAATATGCTTAAATCTCAAAAGTTATTATTTATAATGCTTGTGAATTATATTTTTTCTTAATTTTAAAGATAAGCTGAAATTAAAAATTTAATGTCTGGAATTTTTTGATTAAATTCGAAAATAAAAGAAGTTGCATAGGAGAACAAAGAGTTTTGAAAGGGTAACGAATATTTGATTGTGATTTGAATGATATAACCTTTTCTTGTCATAAATGAAAACGAAATTTAATTCAATCTGAAGCCGTGAAGTAAAGGCTTCGATTCTGAAAGTATGATCAAAGTCCTAATTTAAAAATTAACTGTAAGTATACAATATAATTCTGTGATAAGGCTAGACATATAATAGCAGATATTCATTGAATTCCTGGGGTCAAATAACGATTACATGTTAAAAAATATGTTGATAGCTTCAGTGTTGTACAAATTTTACCAAAAGATATAGCTAAAAATAGTCAAGACACAAAGTAGTGGGTCATTTTTTGATTTAAAAAATATTTTCTGACAATAAAACCAGCTTACATTTGTATTGGCTAGACCAGATAATTTTCTCAGTACTAACAACATTTCACTATTCCTTAGCTGAATATTTTTTAAAAGGAGCAATTGAAATAAGAAACTGTTATCAAGCACATCATTGAGTATTATGACTTGGTAAGCTAAACCAGTACTACTTATGTAACTGTTAATTTATAAGCCAAAATTGTCAATTTTACGACCAGAAATGGTATACTCATAACTCGAAAATAAGACAACTGGTGACAACCCGTTTTAAAAGTTACATTATTGTTTTCAGAAAATACTATCAATCAATCTTGGAGCCAAATATAATAGTGTCATTGATTACAGAAGCAGTGTTTTGACGCCTGGAATGATCCCTTTGATCAAATAATTTTTGTTATTTGTTGTATGAATAAAATGTCCACGCAGGTAATAAGTCGATCAATCTTCAAGCGACAATAATTATGGTGATTACGATAGTAGTTGTCCTGATAATGATGGCAAAAGTAATGATAACGATGGTAATTACAACGATAAATAATGGAATATATTGAAACGGATGTAAAGTTGGTTGAGGACGACCGAAGATCGTTGGTGTTGTTGTTGAGTTGAAAATTGTAACGATGACTTCAGCCAGTAGTAAAGTAACTAACTAATCAGATAAGATATTGTTAAATCATTTACATTTGTCTTATTTTTAAAAATTTAACATTTACTAAGTGACGATATAGCCTACTCTCAGGTCGTTGGAATTTTATGCAATTTACTACGATGTAAACAAACTGCAAACAGTTGCATATTCTCAAATACATAAATAAATAGATAGATTCCATAGACAAAGAAATCATTAATACCACTGGTAAGTTTGAATTAATTCCAAACCAAATACCACTGGTAAGTTTGAATTAATAACGAACAATCCCATTAGCACCAAAGAACTATGATTCAACTTTTAACTATAATCAGAAATAGGCTATTTGATTATCTGTTTATAGAACTTTGAAATAGCATCCTGCTGTAATTCTTATACACAAAGCAATTGATCAACTATTTATACTAACAATGATTTCTTGATCATTAATGATAATGCAAGCATGACTTGATCAAATACGTGCATAAATAAATATATAATAAAACTGCAAAAATCCCCAAATATCATGGAACAACTTCAACACATTCAATGAGCAAATATTTGCAGAAAAAAAATTACATTTACATCAGCTGATAAGATGTTCATACGTAAAACTACGGTAAACTTCATGTCTGATGACTTGCAAAAAATAAACCAAGAATCATAACCCAAGCACTTCCTATAAAATGCTGCAAGTTTCACTGCGTTCATAGACAATATAAAATGCATCCATTCCTTGTACCGTAACTATTTAATTTTCTTACTAAACATTTTTTTTTTTTGAAAGAAAAGGCCAAAAAAAAAAATTCTTGATTAATTAAAGTTTACTGAGAAAAGAAAAACCCTTTGCTGGACAATACTGAAAGGAATGATAATTAGTATTAGTAATATCATGATTAATAAATTACATTAACATCTTATCAGCTGTTAACATCTTTAACTTTTATTTAAAAAACTGATGCGAAAAATAAGATACAGATAGATTATTTTCAGCAACAGCAATTCCTACGATACTATCGAATGAATCTATGATGGAACTATATGCAAACAAAACGAAAGCTACAAAAAAATACTTTCAACGCCTCATTCTCCGTAATTGTTGTTCACTTACGCAATACAACATTGCTGAAGAAAGATTTCAGGAATTCAACAAACTGGCACGGTAATTTGCAATAAATTTCTATGATATCAAATACATGGTTCGAAATTCATGCAACAAGCTGTAAAAAGCTTTTGTACTGGTAAGACCTGTTGTATTTTTTACAAGTTATACATACATTCCTCGCCGTGAATATATCTTGAAATCTAATTAATCAAATGTAACTGAAGGGGAAGTATTCCAAACACACGAATTAGGTGAAAATGCTAGCGAAACACAAATTACACAAAACAATGAGAATTTCTGCAAAAATTTCGTACAACATTGTATAATAATCTACAAGAGGACATCAAAACCAGTTTCAGTTTTTTAGTTTTATTCTCGTTTCAAAATTATCTCCACAGCAGACTTTAGATCATCTATGATAAGATTTGGTTTGATGATGTGATTAAGCCATGATTCCCTGATGTTGATGATAAGGTGAAGTGCGAAAAAAAGCATTGCAAAGTACATTTTAAAAAAATACCTAATTTTATAAACGTGATAATTATGCTGATGTTAAAATAGAATCAAAATATACATTTATTAAAACAGAGAATTGCGGAAAATATTAATGACACTCTTAAATTAGGTTAAAAAAAAGCTTAAACAATATTTTAATCCTTACTATAAATAGTGTTTCACTGGTTTTAAAATCTATTGGATACTTATATGTGAAGTTGTAAGTCAGAATATTTCACTTACCTCCACTTGCCTGTACGCACTTGCACACTTCTGATTCCAGCCTTCATTGCTCCACCAATATCAGATACAATATCGTCCCCTATCATTACCACCTGAATTTGATTTTACTAAACTTTAAAAACTGACAAACACTGAAAAGCGAAGTGTCAGACAAAGTTTGCTAGTTAGAAACAATTTTTATCAAAGCATTAAATTCTAGTTATGAAATAAAATTTGTCATCTGAGAACTTGATAGAGCCATTCAGCATCTGTCAGATCGAGCACTTGATACTGTGCAAAGTACTGCTAAATTTCTGCTCCGTACAAAAATCAATAATAATATTCAGATTCATTATTCAAGAAAGTTCGGTATAAAGAAAGAAGAATAAGAATTGCATCCGCAAAAAGTAAATTTTATGAGGCAAAAACCACTGATGATAATTAATTTTACTTTGTTCAAAATCATTATTTTACTTAGTAAGGCTGAAAAAAGAGACCTCATCAGTCGTTAAACCCATATCTTCTATAGCAGCTTTGAAGAATTGTTCATTTGGTTTCCCTATGGCAATTATTTGTGCATTAGAAGCATATTCTAGAACCCGAGCGAAACTACCGACATCAATACACGGTCCATCTTTTCTTTGATAAAATTTTCTGAAATGAAAATGTTTTTGGCAGCACTTTTTTTTCTTCAAAATCAAATAATAATCATCATATTCACAAAAGCTGATAGCAGCAGACCATTCATTAGTTCCAAAATAACGAAAATTTTGCTTTATTATGAATATTAATACAACTAACCCGCAACCTAAAGTAATAATCAAAGGATGGTTCATCTTATGCAAGATTCGAAAAGCAGTATTCAATGCTTTATAAGTGAATCCTTCTTGAGCATCACCCATGAGAATACAGTTCGGATTCGATGTATCCAAATCTTTAAAATCTTCCGCAATACCTAAAGAAAAATCAAAATATTTTAAAAATTTTCATGTCAAGATAGAAGGAAAGATAGATAGGATTGTACCTGATATCATGAATATGCTCTTGCTCAAATTTAGTACTGATGAATGGTAATATGCCCTTTATTGAAACAAGATTACTTTATTTCTAGTATGGCTGATGAAATCATGCTGCTACGATAATAAGAACTACCATAATTTGAAACTTAGTTATTCACGGCAGCTATAAAATTATTTATAACTTTTAAAAGGTGGCCATCAATTACCAGTTAATTACCAACCACAAATGATTCTAATCCCTATGCAAATAATAGGGTGATGGTAAGTTTTACTGAACTGATTTATCAAGCCTTAACAAATTACTTTTTCAGTTCTTCACAATTACTTCGTCAATTTCGGAAATAAAAATACTATTAATATAAATGACAGAAACAGGAACACTTTCTATGAATTCTGCCTTCATTTACCCATCATTCATCATGTTGCACCAGCTTTAAACAAAGTCTTACAGGTAAAAGTAGCTGTGTTTTAACTTCCAAATCAAATATAAATACAAGAAAATAATACATCAGAAAGATCTTCTATCATACCATTATGCACAAAAATATGTGGTCTCAAGTCGTGAGTTTTGATGTATCGTTTTGCTTCTGGAACCGGCATAAATATATGTTCTTCATTAACACGAAATCCTAGTTTTTTCAACTTTTCGGCTAAATGTTTGCGAGTACACATGCTTTGATTTGTGACCAATCGAATCTGAGATTCAACATACAATCTAAAAACATAATAAAATGGGCCTTTAAATTTTCGGCATCTAATAACAACACCTTAAAGAAAAAAACATTTTTACTAATAAAAAAATTACCCTTTTGAAAAGTACTAAAAGGATTGCTTGAAAAATCAAATAGATCAATTATTATTTGAAAAAATTCCTACCCACAAATGACAATTCTTTACTTATTTCATTTCTTCTACAAATACCGATAATATTTTTATAATCACCTATTAAATGCTTCAACCGAGCCAGGGATCACACATCCAACCCCATTTGGGTCATTGTCATATAACACACCGTTGACATCTAGGAGAAAGCCTTTTATTGGCTTACTATCAATATTTAACCTCTGAAAAAATAAGCACAAAATTAACAAATGAGCACGCGAAACAATAAGATACGTAATTATTCATTTAACTTTGCAATCTAATAGAAATTTCTAAATTCTATAATAACTAAAAACTTAATTGGTGCAATAATATACAAATAATAACAAAATTGTATGAATTCAATCAACAAAAACACAAATTAATTCTATTAATTAATTTTAATAGGAATTGAATGGAAATGAAAATATAATAAGCCATACAGTACGTTCAGTAAGAAATTAGAAAAAAGGCAATACCTTAGAAATATTTCGAATCATTCAAGAAAGAGATTGGAGAGTGTAATAGAGAAGGCTCACTGTAATACACCGATCTCACAATAATTCAATTTCTCTATCGTAGCGGAATAAAACTGTCACTTCATTAGCAGAACAGAGCTGTCACTTCATTACTGTCAGTCTTCCGCTCGTTTAAATTTTATTCCGTCTCAGCGCAATCTGAATATGAACCTGAATCACAGGTTCAATTGAAATAAACTAAATTATCGGTAACGATGCAAATGACGTGAATTTTGATGTTCCATACTTGTAGCTATGATTTTGGATGTAAAAGAGTATATTTAGGTCTGTATTTTTAAAATTCTTATATTATGATTCAAACTTCCTATTCGTTTTCCTGCATCACTTTGCTGAGATATCTGTGTTAAAGGTTTTTTCTCTAGTTTTCAGTTCGTTCACAATTTACTCTTAGCACAGTTTACTTACTCTATACTCTTTACTTGAAGTATTCCTTATGATATTGTACTTAATAGTTTTCTGGTTGAGACGTTTTTATTAGAGTAAAAAAGTAACTCTAGTATTGAAAGTAAGTAATGTTTGATGGCAAATTTTAAAACTTCTGTCTTTAAAACTTGATATGGTTTAACTTTTGAAGAAATTTTCACTTTACTTAGAGCAGTTAATTCATGCCTAAAGTTAATATTTTTATTGATCTGACGTATAAATGTGATTCTTTGAGAATATTTTTCTCCTTTTTCGCATGTCCAGAATTCTAATGCTTTGTAATAATTGAACCTCAGACGTAGTTTTGATCTTATGTGTTTCAGATAAATTACTCTCGAATCTGTTGTAACTGTGGAATGTTTGTGAAGAATCATATTTGGAAGAAATTTATTTCTGAGTGTGACGAGGCTTATCTGTTCTGAAAGTTAGTTTTTATTTAAGCTTTTAATTCCACTTCGTTTGTGTTCATTGGCTTTTAATTATAAGCGGAAAAGAAATATAAATTATGAAAAAAACATTTTATAATTGCGTATTTTTTGTCTACTAGTTAGAATCTAAAGATTTGCTAGAAAGTGTCAATTGCACAGTTTTCAACAAATGAGATTTATATTGGAATACATATTTTGTGTAATACCATTATGGTGTGTGGTACCAAACCTAGTTGCGGCAGTAGTTCTCATTTGCAAAATAATCTTTCAACCCTTGTTAGCCGTATTAAACAAACTCGATTCATTGTAGAAAGTTATTTATTGCTTATATTGTGGCTTTTCTGTTTTATCGGCTAAATGTTCTAGTAAACGAGTATATAAGATAAATCTTCTGACATTAATGTGAAGCACAGTTTTTGCAGGCTTTTGTTCATCCAATCTATGCATAAAAAGCGAAGTGAAAGAATGAAAAATGGGTGTTGCATGGGTATTTGAAACTGACAAAAGTGCTCAAAGTATTGAACGTGCTATCGAGGGAGAAGGTGGTACAAAGTGTGGTGTTTTCACAGTCGATTCTACACCATTCAAACCGAATGATAATGTTCAAGGGGCCATCAATCATGTATTTATTTTGCATCATTCGCGTTTTCCACAAAGTACTTTCACGATAGCACCCAATGATAAACAAAAGAGTTGTCCACGTGCCATATCTGATCGAGGATTCGATTGTATTTTGGCTAAACTTAGTTCTGGACTAGTTCAAGATTCTGCGGGAAAATTTGAAGTTTCTGGTCATGAATACAGTTTGCAAGATTTTATGATACGAACTGGAAACGCATCGATGGGAGTAATCAGTAAAGGTGTTATTGTTGAAGTAGAATATGCACCATCTTGTGTAGCATCACAATGCGGTATTTTTTTGCAAGAATTTGTCGCAACATTTTTTCCAAACCATATTGCTAATAAGCCCTCTGTTTTACAGAAGGCTCAGCCAGAACCATATAGTGCTCTTGATACCATGTATCAGTATTTAGATATTTTTCAAAACATGAGGAAAAAAACATGATTATATTTAAGGAAAGAAGTGCGAAACTGTCTTCAGGTTGTTACCACTTAAGAAGTGTAGGAGTTAAAAAGTACGAAATAATAATTTTTAAATCCTGAAATTATGGCTTGTGTGGGCATTGCTTACGATTCTGCTATTAATATTCTGTTGTGCCCAATATTGTTTCATTGTTGAAAATTGTAAGATAAACTGCTCAATGTAAAATATAAATTATTTGTAGTTTATCTTTTGTTCTTTCAGTTTTGACGAAGTGATTTTTACTACAAATCGAATTTCGAGTATTCATTTATACCAAGTCTTCATCACTGTTTTCATCGTGGCTTCAAAATATCTAATTGTTATTTTTTGTGTTAGCATGCATTTATGCATTGTAATGAGTTGAATTTGCATGTTTGTATTAAAGTCATTATATTTATTCCGATTTGTGATGGATGCAGAGGACAGCAATTCAAGAGTTATTCTTTCCAAATCTTTTTAACTCATTCATTTGCTTCAATGAAAAGATAATTCAAGTGCGGTAATTAAAATGGCATTATATATGAAAATCCCAATTGGGTCGCTGGACTTCAGCTCCTTTCTAAATCTAACTACCAGTTAAAATTGTATTTGTGTATTGCAATTTCAAGTATGATGACGAAGTTTCTAGGCTTTTCATTTTTTAGATCTTGGGAAAGTTTCTGAAACTAGTGCTGGATATATATGATCATTTTTGTTATTTTCTAATAGATCTGGAAAAGTTTTATGAAAATTTTCATGCATGTTAGGTTTTTCACTTTGAAACCAGGAATCACATTCTTCAAAAAAATATTGAATTTAGTCATAATGCAGATGTGACTATCAAAATTATGAGAAATTTCAAAAAAAGGTTTTTAATAACTCGCAGTTGATAAGTTAATCAAATTCTCAAGAGATTAAGACCACGAGGATTGAAGTTCGCATTTCATGAACCCGAACAACAGGTTTATCTCCACTTCTCGAAGTTTTTGAAACAGGTATACGAATTAGATTTAGAGAGCTTAAAAATAGAAGAGTGACTTTCGTAACAACTCGAGTTCCGGCTTCCTCTGATGGAATTATTCTTATTAGGCCATCACCGAAAAAAAAATTGCTGCAGTTTTGAAAAAGGAAGTTTTTCAATCATTTTGTGAGCCGAAAACTTTAGAAGTTAAAAAGGATGAACTTTTGTGATTCTCGGAAGTACGTTTCCATTTAATCAATTATTAACGACACTCTTTTACAAGTTACCAAATATTTCTATGCTATAATAAAGGAAGTTTAAGAGAATGGAACTAATTGTTCGCACATTTATATTCACTGTAGAGAAGAGTGATTCCATCTACCTCTACGATCCATGCCAGCATCAGAAGTTTGGTACTTGTATATTATTTTATGTGATACTGAAGTATAATTTTGAAGTATAGAGCATGCTACAAAGAAACAGTTTACGCCTTCACCTATTTTCTTGATGACGAGAACTATTTCGATTTTCATCAGTAATAAAAGAACAATGCACGTTGCTCTATAATTTAAAAAAATGCTGATCATCACTTAGCACCTCATCTACAACAAAAGATCATATCAAAATCTATCACAGAAAAGTCCACAAAATAAAAGTCACATGATTTTTCTGAGGAAAGAAATGAGTTTGTGTTTAAATCGATCTTCCCATGTGCATATAATGTTTCTACAATTTTATTGAATAGTAGCAATTACTCCATAGTAATTTTATTTGAATTAAAAGATATCACTTTTTTTACGACGACTGCTAACCATTGTATTGAGTCGTTCCTGTTGATTTGTTAGCCGTTGTATCACTTCACGACATGCCGATAACTTTTTTTTTAGCTTATCGACAGTAGCAAAATCACGTGAATTACGTGTGATACCCTCACGCAATTTTCGCTCCTTTTCTTTATACTCTCTAAGCTTTTTATCCAAATCCAAAAATTGAGCTCCAAGATTTTTCGAAGAGCAACTCTAAATAAATAAAATATATTCAGCGTACGAGCACAAATACTAAGATGCAAAAACTGGAAAGAGCGATAAAAACATCGCTGCTTTTGAGCAGAAGTAGACATATGACTGCTTTTGTTATTATATACTCCAGTTTTTTTGAAAAATCTAAATATTGACCCGAACCCCTTTCATTCCAAATACTGACTGCTCAAGTACTATTTAAAGTAACAACTATCTTGGCAATAAACACTTCCAATTTTACAAAATTTCTGTCAGTATGGTAATTAAAACATTCTATAAATTAATCTGAATGTATCTTATAGTATGTCTGTCTTACCTGTAATTTTTTTATCTCTTCCGTTTCATCTACTGAGTTTGGACGAACTGAGGATTCATTTAATTTTTGATTCAGCAAATCAAAGACATCAACTGGTTGCTCAACTGCTTCCAAGTGTTTTGCAATCGTTTGTTTGACATACTGCTGCCGAGTCTTCAGACCATCTACTACCTTTCTATTTTTTGCTTCCATACATGCATCCAATGACTTGTCTTAATCAAACTGATACAAGCATAACATCAGAAAATAATTCATAGGAAACTATTCTAAGAAAGAGAGAATTTGAATTAAACAAGTCAGCTATTTAGAACAAAAAGAAAGAATGAGTAACTTTCATTTCCAAAATTTTTGTTGATATTTCTATGTGAAAACTTTTTTTTTTGAAAAAAAATCTAGTTACTGTAGATAATCGTACCTTCTTAGCAACTGATAGATAGAAAGCAAATCAAAATACTTTTAGCAAAAATCACTGGTTGTATGGCGTGAATAATTCCGTCAGATTTCCGTCCAAGTCCTTGTCCTATCTTATAGCCCATTTTCAGCAAAAGTTTCGTTCCGATGCCCCGTGTGTGCTTTTCCCAATCACCAATATCTCCAATAGTTACATTTCCTCGTCTTTCTTGCTTGTATTCTTCCCATGAAGTTGATGGCACACTTTCTCCGACGACATCATCTGAATGGTTAATAACTAAAAATTCTATTCTGACTAACTATTGACAGACAGACTATATGGAATAATTCTGTATGGCCTTGCCTGTTTTTTCTTCTCTATATTTTACAAAATTGTTTGAGGTGAAAATCATCAGAAGTTTTTACAGCAAGTAAAAAAACGTTTAATTCCTACTCAAACTAGTATTAAGATTCGTCAACTATATTCTACATTATGTAAATAAAATCTGATACTGAGAAAGTGAGTGTGAAGAAAATTTGGACTAAATTATTTCTTTCACTGAAGTTGTCAATGTCAGCCTATATTTACCACAAAATTCGATTTACTAAACATTAACAAAAATAGTGTGAAGAGCGAAATATAGTATTATAAAACTTTGGATATGAATTAGCGTTTTAATAAAACTTTTATTTACAAAACTAACAAAAAAATTCCAATTAGACTAAACTGAGCTTTTGAATAAAAGTGATAGTCATATTATTAAAATTTTGATGAAAATGAGCCAATGATCATCGACGTATTGAAATTAAAGAAAAAACCTTGAGAACTATAAGATATTTGCGGTACTGGGTACACTTTGCATTTATCAACAGCGATTTCTTTTCCAGTAACCAATGAACAAACTGCTACCTTTTCATCATCTACAGCAACAACTCGTGCACTGCTCCACAACTTATTTTCCTTCTCCACAAGAACAATTGAGTCTTCTTTTATAAGTCTAAAAAACCACTAGTTTTTAATGATGACTGAAACGAACTCATAGCACATAGCACTATAATTATTGAGAAAAATAGTGGCTGATAACTATGGCTCAACAAACTCACGAACTATCCAGCTTTTGGTAATCTTGAAGGGCTGAAAACAAAACTTCTTCACCATGGGAAAAACGACATTCATCTCCATAATTACAACGATCGTCTAAAAAATATATGCATGGCTTCATTGCTGTTTCAAGCGGATGACCATACAGAACTTTGACCTGCAATGCAAGATAGAAGATGCATTTACCATTTCTGTGATATGGCAATACGACAATTTGTCAATTATCAACAGGTAATACCTAAAAATTTACAAACTGTATCAAAATCACTAAACAGTATTAAAATTCGCCATTTATAAAAATATACTTCATCTTTTAAAAGAAATGGTAAATGCAAAATATTAAGAGATTTATACCAAAATTTGGAAATTCAAATAAACCTTAAGACCATCTTCTTGCTCAGACGAATTTGCAACAAAGTCTAAAATAACAGCATCATGAAGATAAATAGCTTGGTCAACAGTACGCTTGTAAGGTGCCAAACAATGCATGCCGACTAATTCACCAGAATCTTGAGTTTCCACAATATTATATGTCTCTCCAATATCTCCACTCTTCTCATCTGCAGTTGTTTCACTTTCTAAAAAATCCAGTTTACAAAATTAGCCTTTGTTTCCTGCATTTTTCACCACATTCATATTCCAAATATCTGCAACATATTAGACTTCCCTGAATCATGCCGTTGAAACCTTAATCTCTGTTATCGATTTCCAAACTTCTCCATTATTACCTTTTAATAATGATATTAGTTCTATCAAATCTGATTTTGAATCCATCAGCGCACTTCTTCTCTGTAGCTCTGTACATGTTTCAAGCTCCTTATCAATTTCTTTAAGCTAAAAGTGCAAAGACTTGAAGATAACAAAGCATGATCCTGGACTTATTCACCATTACAGTGAAACCAAATCAATATTCGCAAATTTTCTCTTTGCAATGCTTTTGTGATAAGAAAAAAGAAGCAGAAAAGAAGCCCGCAATCACTCACAAATATCGAGACTCCTGCAGCTAAAAAACTGAGATATAGTGTGTAAGAACAATTTGTACCTGATTCTCATAATTTTCAAGTTCACTTCGTTCCATGATGAATTTACTGCGCAAATAAAACCCTCTTTCACGGCTCGCAACACAAACCCATGTACAAATTTATAATTTTAGCCGACCCCTTCAAAGATTGTCTGAAGAAATGATTCATTAAGAATGTGAATATTCTTTTAAGCATACTGTTGTAAACATCATAAATGCTCTTTAAACTTTGTGTTTTCATACCTTCATATCCACGGTGATGATGAATGAAAAAAAGTGGCAAGAAACCTATGCAATGGACAACATAAATCTATTACAACGAAAAGGAGTACAAGAATAATTTATATCCACTTTAAAACAGCATGAAACAATAAAGCAGTAAAAATACACCATTACAAGATAGTCTTAACGACGAACATAATATTCAAAAAAGATTCTGCAATAAATTAAAACATGACTACTAAATAACAAATGAATGCAATACTCACTGAAAATAATAGTAATCATGCAATTTTTTTAAACAAGAATTAAAAAAAATCAGTAATAAAAACTTCAGAGCTGTTCAGTAACCTTACAAGTATCAAAAACAAAAGACCCATATAGTTTGTTCCAGTCTTTATAGCTTTTCATGTCTTTATCATCAACTGTTGCACGAACAAACTTCATTGCCGTTAAAAAGTCAGAATAAGAAATCGGCTGAATCTGAAAAGACAATTTTTAGCCAATCTTATACGTCTTACTAGTATACCAAAGTGTATTTATGCTTTTAAACTGAAATCATAAATTTCGAGAATACAAGTATTAATTAATATTTCACTTAAGAGTGTAGAACATCTGAATAAAATTAAGCTTTTCAAATATGAAAACAACGAAATACTACATTTACACAAAATGAATACTGATACTGAAAAAAAAGATACAAACAAAGGATTAAAAGTTTATTTTGGAAATATAATGAATAAGCATATCACATTCAAGAGGTGAAAAAACTTATCTCATCAGCATTAAGTGATGTGAAATCGAGTGATGACGAATGAGCAACATTACGAATTGGAATCATTGCTGCCTCAGCACAAAGTTGCTTCATATCTGCTCCAGAATATCCTAGAAATGCACAGTGTAATTTCGCTGCAAACCTAATCTTTCAAAATTAAAATTTATTTTAATTTTGAATTTAGACAAACAAATAAGAGGAGTAAAAAACTCCAAATGGAATTCAGTACCAAATTCTGTCAGAATACCAATGCAGTAATTTAATACAAAAGAATAACGATGGAACGGAACCTTCTGTTAGTTCTGCGATATGATCTAATTCTTCAACAGAAAGATTTTTTTTTTGGCCAGTAAGATGAGAATTGATCATTTCCATTCTTGCGAATTTGCAAGGCAAATCAATAAACAATCGCTTTGTAAAGCGACGTCTAGCAGCCGAATCTATTTCTTGTGGTCTGAATAAATAAAATAAAATAATTTACAGCCAAGCTTCACACATAATTCAGAGGCAACAGGGGAATTTACTTAAGAGAAACAATAGAACTGAATTTGAAACGCAGAAATAAACGCAGAAATAACACCTGTTAGTAGCACCCAAAATTAAAAGCTTGTCTTCAGAGTTAGTATTCACACCATCTAAATGGATGAGAAACTCGGTTTTTATGCGCCTGGAAGATTCATGCTCGCCTTCTTTTCTAGTTGTAAGTAATGAATCAACCTTAAGTTATAAATATACAATTGTCTAGTAAATAAATTGGAAAAATGTCATTTTAGCTCGAAAATTTTAGAAATGATGATTTGTTTTGAGTAAATGAATTGTAGCAGCATGCCAACAAACTTAAAAAAAAGATATTGAACGTCCCTTGAAATTTTAAAATTTTCTTAAGCAATTACATTTTTTGTTAGTAAGCAAATAAAAACGCAAGCCGTTTTAAAAATTGAAAATCCTGAATAAATACTCAAAAGTTAACGTATGAGCAATAAATTACACCTATGAGCAATAAGTTAAAATAAATTATAATCTGCGACTACCTCGTCAATAAAAATTACAGATGGCTGCAGAACCCGAGCAATTGCAAAAAGAGCTCGAACAAGTTTTTCCCCGTCACCTACCCACTTTGAAGTAATTGAAGATGCAGCTATATTGAAAAATGTCGCTTTAAACTGTGAAGCAACGCATCGCCCTGTAATTCATGAATATTAAATATTACAATGTTTTGGAAGTTAGAAAAGTCGAAAGTTTTAACAACTAAAAAAATTTTACCAATCATAGTTTTTCCAGTGCCGGGAGGACCGAAAAGTAATACACCTTTGGGTGGTGCAAGTATTCCCGTGAAAATATCACTGAAAAATTGAAATGTAAACTTATACAATATCATTTAAAATAACTGACATTTTGAATGAACTATGCAGTAAAGTAAACGCTAAGTATTTTCGATTGGTAACAAGCTTATTTTTAATAAAATCACTATACGGTCTAAGGAGAGGAAGAACAATGATCTCGTTTAGAGCTCTTTTTACAACGTCTAAACCTGCCACATCCGCCCAACTCGTTCCTGTCCCATTTGAAATAATCTGAAATAGCCACAATGAATGGTCACTTGTTAATGATCTATAAACTGAAAAATACATAAATTATTTTTAACTAAAGAATTCAGTTGATTTAGCTTCCTTTTTTAATTCATGTCGGAGGTTAAAGTTTCTTGAATTTGATCACACCTTATAAGAAATGAAATGTACTGAAAAATGAAGCTAATTATAAATAGTTCAGCTAAATCTGATATTCCACAAGAACAAGGCTAAAATAAAAATTGCTTGAAACTCAGCTTAATGGTACCTCAGCTTCAATAATCTCAATTATACTATCTTCGAAAATTTTTAATGATTCATGTGCTTTCCACCCGTTTCTTTGACCTGCAAACTCACTAGCACTAGTGGCATCCCGAACTTGCTGAGCAGCTATTTTAGTACTAGGAGTAATATAAGATTTGTGTTGAAAGAATCGTCTGAAAAGAATTTTCGATTTTGAAAGGAAGATATTTTCCACGCTGAGGTGTTGGATTGAGGAAAGTTTTCAGGCAAAACTGTGAGATGCCCCCATAAATTAATGACAAATAATTTAAACACGTTGCTTTTTTCATCGTATTTACTTCACTAATTTATTTTCCCAGAAGCTTTTTTAATCATATGTTAAACGATAAACAAAGCTTTTGGAGAAATGAATCACTGAAGTTAATAAGATAAAAAATTAAACATACAAGAATTGAAAAAAAACGTTGCTGACTATCCACACGAGTGATTTCTATAAGTGTAAATTGAATAGCTAATAATTAGGTCAAATACATAAATGACAATTTACATCACATAAATATCGCTACAAAAATACAATTGCACAGAAATGAGAAAAGAAAATTTACTCAGTAAAAGACGCATATTTACCTTTCTTTCACTGAGATACCAATATTCTCCGTATCCTGAAAATCGGAAAAAGACTAGACATCCAAGATATTACCAAAAAGGGATGGAAAAATTGAAAGGCCAAAAATGTTGGATCAAAAAATTTTCCTTCTCATATCGATACCAATATACTGATGTTAAAAATAAACTGTTTTATTCATAAACTTGATACGTTTTCCAAACTCTTTAAAAACTCTCAATGATTCAGATGCTTCCCACTTAATAATTCATGCACTTTCCATTAAAAAATCAAATGCTGATTATTCCCTAACTACAAAAAGTCTTGCCATAAAAGGCAATAACAAGAAAATTAAATTGTTGAGAACATACATTGGTTATCACAGGTATCATTCGCTTCGCTAGTGGTCGTCCACTAGCAGTTCTATAAATGTATTTAAATTTTTAAAAAATCAATAAATAATTTAAGAATTTCACACTATCATTGAAAAATTTAACTGCAGTTAAAGTTCTAATAAAGAAACTATGATACAAGGTACGCGCAAATGCGAATTTTGGTGCCAAAATTGTGAACAAAATAATTTTTGACTAAAATTTTTGCATGATCAAATAACATGATACATAATAACGATAGAAAATCTTACCTAAAATCACTAGTTTCCGGTTTACTGAGTAGAATATGTCTTGTCTCCATTTGCAACTTACAGGCACTGCCAGAATATGAGGAAGAATGACCAGCTGGAGATGGCCGATTCTAGAAAATCATTTTACAAACACAGTGCTATGCAGAACATTTCGATTTACTCAGAAATTGGCCACAGACACTTAACCAAAAAGTAATTAGTTAGTATGGAAAAAAAATCACACAAATAAATGCTAAAAATTATTAGACGTTTATTTAAGAAAGACATTGATAATTATTCACACTTTTAATCAATAGACAAAAAATTCTTCCAGTTTTGCAAGTCATTTTAATCTTTCAAAGACTTACTAATTCTGAAAATTTCTTTCGAAATGCCATCACCTTCGGATCTTGACTAAAATCATAACCATGTTTACCCATCTGAAAAATATCTTAATTTTTGCTTGATCGTATTTTGACAAGAAAAACTTCGAGTTTATAAATGCTAATTGCATTCAATCCCGTATACAGTTATATCGCATTCGAAAAATGAAGCAAACTATATTTCACGACTTGAATTACTATTTACAAAATAAGTAATTCCTTGCAAAGTCTGAAAACTTCTTCAATACTCATAAATTTTTTATAAAAGACAGAGTAAGTTTTCCGAACTACGGAAAACGACAAAATTTGCATTGACTGAAACATATCAAAACACATGAATAAACAGTACATTGGACAATGAGCAGAATATCTTTCAGTATTCTATTTTATCAATGATTATCAGCAACACTCACAAATACAGTCAAATATCAAGCACTGCTAATATTTTAACACATCAATCTATTTCACACACTAAATATTTTTTATAATTTTAATAATTTTATAGCAATATTTATAATTCTATAACATGAATTCCGTTTGACAATACTAGTTAATACCTATAATTGGTAATAATAAAACACTCATAATAGTAACAAGCATGCATATTTTATAAACCATTTAAAAAGAAGAATAAGTTCACTATTTGTCCACTAAAGACTACTGATAAGACTCAATTACGAATAACTTGACCAGTACATAGGGCACTTAATAAATCAACATTTTATTTATTTATTTTTTCTCATGTTGTTTTCATGCCTTCACAAACTTTATAATGCATTTTTGTTCTACACATTTCTATCAAATTCAATGACTCAAACTAAAACTATTTTGGAAAGAATGGATACTGTTGCAAAATCAATAAATAATGACCTTAGATGAAGGTCACTATTGTTCAGAAATTTTGAAAACTTCATCACAACAAAAGACTCATAAGAAATTATTGACTTCTTACCATATTCTTGATCAGTAATTTCGATCCGTAACAATTACTTCCAATCCCTTATTTTTAAGTGCTCTATTTATATCATAATTAGTTTACTCATCCTTCTGTTTGGTCATTACAAATCACGTCAATGCAAGTAACATCCTTTCCAAACCTCTCCCAGAATGACTTTAAAAGCACATATTATGTCGCATAGTTGTTGCATTACCTTCTTATGAGACAAAACGTGAAATGACGTGTGAGTTAGCAGCTAAGACTTCAAGTGCATTGAAGTAATATTTTCGAGACTATAGAGGCGTAAAAGTAAAAGTCTGAAGACATGATAGTAATTTTGCGAACTTTGAAAACTGGGAATATACTGAACTCATGAGATGTGATTACTTATTTGAAAAATGTGCTATTTATAAAAATGTGAAAATTTAGTTCTCAATTACTACTCCAGTTTAAATGCAACTCTTCCGGTTTAGAACCAAAACTTCTACAGAAAAATTATTTATACGTACGTTTGATATTTGGTAAACATTGCTTGACGTTGCCCAAGACTTGAACAAGGCAGGAAAGTTGTTGAAATTTTAAAATTGCGAAACTATTTTTCAAAATTGAAAAAAATGTTCAATTTGAGAAAGTCTTCAATTTACGTTTCTTAGTGTGTGCAGCGTAGAAAAGAAATTTATAGTTTTTGGTGTGGTAGTACTATTTAATACGAATTTGCAGACTTTCTTCAAAATACTTTTAAATTAACAGCTAATATTTTATATAAAAAGCCATTCATACACAGGCAATGTAAAGTAATTTTAAAATTGAGAATATTTTTCCATTTCTCTGATGACATAATACGTCTAATTTCATACTTTCAGTTCACAGTGTGAAATTGAAGTGATATTGAAATACTCTTTTGTTGATAAATTTTAAAAGTTCACGCATGCACGTGCCAAAATTTTGGTATAAAT